GATTGCATAAACGAAAACGCTATTACTAAAATAATATCAATAGCGGATAACAAAACCGCTATCTAATGGACCACACCTATTATCGCGGGCGATATTGGAGCGCTTTCTACAACGCTATAGTATCGTATGATAGCGCTTTACAGGTGCTATTAAAACTCTTATTTCTTGTAGTGAGGCTGATTGAGAACATGGTGTCTAGCAACAGTGTCACAAATCTGGATATACATACGGTAAAATCAGCTGCAAAGGATAGTGACAAGAATGTTGAGGCTGAGATTGGTTCTGTACATGAGGTCTCATGTGTGCAACACGCTACATACCAGGATGAGGATGAGATGGAATTTATGCTAGAGAAGCTTTTGAAACAACAGCAACAGATGACTGAGCGTTTAAATCTGAAATTGGCTTTTCTCTGCAATGATTGGAAAGGAAGGTTAGAAACCTTAGATAGCCATTTTCAGATGCTACGCACCCAAGCTTATCATACTGCAGAAGCTGTGAAGCAAGAAGCTTTGGTCAAAAAGAAAGCTGTGGAAAGTGAGAGGCACCAGGTTGATGACATCCTAGATATTGAGCAAGAGAAGCTGGAAGAAGATGCTTTTCAAGTCGAAAGCTCCATGTCTATAGGCAGCTCGTATTGGTGTCGACCGACATCAACACCCGAGTATCGACCGACGCCAACACCCGAGCATCGCTCGACATCATCACCTGAGCGTCGACCGATACAATCTGATATGCATCGATCGACACAACTTTTGGGATCAGATAAGTTTGTTGGCATTCAAAACCATTCCGACTTTGCCGCTCAACACCCACATCCTCCCACCCTACTTCGAGTTAAAACAGCAGCCATCGATCGACAACAACACGGGAACATCGATCGACAGGAGAAGCAGAACATCGATCGGCAGGAGAAGCAGAACATCGATCGACAGGAGAAGCAGATCATCGATCGACATCCGCCCATGCCATGTCAAGTTAGTTTACCAGATCTTGATGCACACCGCTTGGAAGCAACTCGAAACCCATCTCAGACTCCAGTTTTCTTCAACACAAGAGAGAAGATGAATCATCAATCTGCAGAAGCACCAACGCAAAGGAAATCAACCCTAGCTGAAACCTCTTTTGTTGAGAATGTCGATCGACGACATACACCAGGTATCGAACGACAGTAAGGGGATGGATACGACACTGCCATAGAAAGTTAGGTAACGAAAGATGAGATTCCAGTTGAGATGAGAGTGAAATCTAGGAAACCCTATATTCCCAAGCACCTCAGGAGAGAAATTAACAAAGTGGAACTTGATGGATTTCACAAGAAGAGGGTTCCCAAGAATATGTCTTTTGAGGATGCATACTATAAGTACAGACTTGGTAATTTCTTCAGAGAAAGCAGAGAGACAGATAAGTACATTGAGCTGCTATTCAACAAGATATGTCGTAAGCCTAATAGAACTCTGAAGAAGGAGCAAGATCCAAGGAAGTTCCTGATCCCATGCTGTATACATAACCATGATTTGCCAACCGCCCTCTGCGATACTGGATCTGCAGTCAGCATCATGGCAATAGACACTGCTGAAGTAATAGGATTAGAGGTGGAACCTTCTAAAGATAGTTTCACTTTCGTAGACAACACCAGAGTTGATTCAGCAGGCATCATCAAATGTTAAAGTGGAGATAGGGGATTGCACTGTTCCAGTGGACTTTCATGTCATGGAGATTAAACCAGGCACAAAAAATTCGCTTCTCTTTGGAAGAGCCTTCATGGCTACAGTGGGAGCAGTTTGTGATCTTAAGAAGAACAGGATGTGCCTGACTAATGTTGATGACACTGTCTTCTATCATCCTTTGGAAAAGAAAACCGATGAGAAGTTTATTTCATGCATAGAGATGTTTGAAGATCCAAGACCTAAAGATGGTTCAAACCGCGAGTCGACACAACCAGAATCAACATCGATCAACAATCACCATTCAGCATCGGTCGACAAGCAGCCTTCAGAATCGATTGACACGAAGCATTCAGCATCGATCGATACCCACTGTATTTCAGAACAGACCGAGACTGAAAAGTTTAAGTCTGGGGGAAGGACAAGGAGTAGGAAGAAGAAAAAGAAAAGGTATGCAGATTTCCTATCACTAGTTCCTTCACAAGGTCAAGAGGGAAGTCTTGAGTATAAAGTGCGCTACAGAGGAAGTTCTGAACCTTTTGCCAAAGTTAGAGTGCTATGTGATCCAGAGCTGAGAGATAAAGGAGAAGTATCTGCCAGAGCTTTTACCAACTACATCAACAAAATGAGAAAGAGAGACATTGAGACTTGTTCTGGAGCAAGTTCACATCTTTACCCGGACTAAATCAGATCTCCAGAAGTCAAGCTAATGACTAAAAATAAGCGCTGAGTGGGAGGCAACCCACTGTTAGGTAATTTTCAATATGGTTTTATTTTCATTTATTACTGATATTTTGATTTCTGTAATTTCAGGTAAAAAAAAAAATGAATGAATAGTAACGATGGTACTGTAGCAACGCACTGTAGCACGAGCATCGAGCGACACTGTAGCAGCAATATCGACCGACACTGTAGCAGAGAATCGGGAGTCACTGTAGCAGAGTTACTGTAGCATGATCACTGTTCATCGAAAAAAAAAGAAAAAAAAATATATTAATTGGTTTTCTCAATTATGTATTACTAACCTTTAGAGTTTAGTGTTTTATTTATGTTAGGTATTAGGAAAGAGATTCAAGGAAGATGAGTTATGCGCCAGCTATCGACAGATAACCGGCCGGTGTCACTCGACAGATCATCACAAGTATTGATCGCCACTTAACTGTGTTGATCGTTACTCACATCAAAGTAGGTATACAGTCTTTCTTTGTTAATTTTTTTCCTTATGGTTTATTGTCCCACCAATCTTGGTCTGTATAACATTGGTCACAGTGTTATTTAAGTCTGGGGGAGGTTCTACTAATATTATGTTTGAGTTAGATATTTGGAATAAAAACCCGAGTAGACGATTTCCTTGGATATCGACCGATTAGTAGAGCATGTCGACATCGATCGACAGTACATCACTTACATCTACTGATGGTAACTCTTTTTCATCGATCGATACTTGAGCCGGTCTGGCATATCGTTCCTAATTGTTAAATTTCGTACTTCTACTTTATGATTTTCACCTTACCACCGACTATGTTACACTGGGGACAGTGTAATTCAAGTCTGGGGGGATTACTAACGTTTACCTACTTTATGAGTCTTATTTAAAATATTTTCAAAAAGTTTTTATTGAGTCAAGAAGGGGATGATGATCTATTTCGATTTATTACTTGTCATCTAACCACTCTTTAGACCAGTCTTAGATTTACTGACCGCAGAAGTACTAGAGATACTAAAGTGGATCAACCTGTCAAATATGTTTGCACTTGCTGGATGGTTAGCTCGACGTACGGTGAGCCGAACCGCGTTGGTTCATCTCGCCGTACGGCGAGCTGATTTTAGGCGACCAGCTCGTCGTACGGCGAGCTGGTCCGGGACGATCCAGTTCGGTCGAACCTTCTCGTAGTTTGGCAGATGCAGTTTTGCGATTTTTTGCTTAACTTGGACAATCGTGTAATCAGAGATTGTTTTGTTCGTTTTTCCGAGATGAGGATTTCCAAGTTTTTCACGGATTTCCTTTTCTCGGAAAGTCCTTAGAATTTTATAAAACAATTTCTCGTGTTTTATAAAACGTATTTTTATTTTACAAAAAGTTTTGGTCATTGATTCCGTCGTACCGATTTTGACCCCAACATCTATAATACTCATACGCTCTAAATGACAATTGAAAGCCTTGGATGGTAAAACTTTAGTTTTTCGGATCCGCTATCATTATATCCTTTCTTAAGTGCTCAAATGACACTCTATGTTTCTGAATTTATCCCTTAATAGACAAGTTCTTTAACTTAATGTACGTAGCACCATTCTTATACTTGTCGTCCTTTCCAAAGAAGACAGCTGCGAAATAATTACCTTAAAATCTCAGCGGCTTTACTATAATTAATGTCAACAACAAGCCCTGAGATAAATTTCCACAGCTACTATTCATGAACAATGGCCTCAAAACATGCCACAGATCAGCTTTAATTGTGGAAGAAGCAAGGAAAGATTGTGTTCCACTTTCCTTTATATTGTTCCCTCAATTAATAGGAACAATAACAAAACATTGATTTTTAACATCAACGCGTCTGGCTAGGAATGGCAATCTGGACCGCGGCCCACGGGCTAGTCTCATAAAAGGCCCATACGGGGCGGGTTTGGGCCAGCATATTATCGACCCGATAATTAGCGGGCCTTGCGGGTATTGATTTCGCGGGTTTGGGCCGTCGCGGTTTGGGCCTTTGCGGTCCTGCTGGTTTAGCAAAGGACCGCTTTGCCTTCTGTTTTTCCTTCTTGCTTTCGGCACCTGAAAAAAAAAAAGATGATGAGAAGGCGATATCACCAACGACACTCCTCGAGCTCCGACAGTACCTCCGGCGTCCATTTCAAGCTCAGTTGATCACCAGAGGAGCATCGACCTTGTCCTCTGTCGATGTCCAACCCGTTTCGTCCAACCACAGGAGCTACTCTCCTTCCTCGTCCAACCACCAGAACGTCCCTGGTTTGATCTCAATGTCTACGATCTAATCTTCTCACTGGTTTGGTCTGGTGTTCAAGGTAATAAGTCTTTTTGTCTCTTGTCATGTTTTCATGTATTTCAGGTTTAAAGATCTATGTAGTGATTTAATCTTAGATATAATATCAATCAAGAAAATTGGATTTTCGTTGATGGATTATTGGAGCCATATTAGTTCTAAAGCTCACTGTTTGTGTTGCAGTGATAATTGATTGCTTTGATTTGATTCTATTGTTGACTGAGTTCTTTCTTTTTTGTGTTTCCTCGTTAGTTTGATTTATGCAGAGTTAGTTCATTTTTCTTGCAGAAGTTTGTGGAACCTTGTTAAAAGCTCAGAGTTCAGAAGATTCATGGATGATAGTACTCCTAGGAAATTAAAGATATCACCTGATCACTTTACTGTTCCTACTCCCACCGCCACAGAAGCTTCTCAAGACCATTCTTCTTCTCCATCAACTTCACACCCCAAAGAAGATAACATTTCTTTAAGGTAACCTGTTAGCACATAAACATGCTAAAAAGGTCTCTTAGTTTGAGCAGAGCTGACATCTTTTTTGTTTAGAATAGGTCTCTTAGTCAAAGCCAGTCCAGTACTCGCAGGAAACTGAAAAGAGCAGCACTAATGTTGAATCTCTTCTCTCTTCGCCGTCTGCCTTGGGTTTCAGTCTGAAAAGGAAGTAATGGAGTTAAGGGTTAGGATAAAAGAGCATTTGAAGTTGGTTGAGAGTGTTAGGTTAGAGGTGGATGTTGGGAATGAAGAGCATGTTCTTGTTGAGTTGGCGAAGATGGAGGCTTTGAAGGAATGTAAAGAGGTGGAAGAGGAGAAAGAGAGAGAAAGGCAGGAGGTGTTTGAGTCATTGGAGAAGATGAAGAAGGGAATGAAGGAGATGATGAAAGAGATTGAGAGAACAAAGGAGTATGAGAAGCAATGGCGTGGGTGGAAGCACTGAAGGCAAGCACTAAGGAGGTTGTGATAAAGACGGAGACTCTAGAGAGGGAGAGTGGGATCACAGTGGTGGAAGAGGAGAGAGCAACGTTTTGGTGGTCTCTCCTAATTGTTTTCTTTAGCTCTAGTTTCTACAGAAGGTACTGCAAGTTCTATTTGATTCACAAGAAATCCCTGGAAAGCAAGAGAAGCATGGAAGCAAGATTGTAACATTAATAACTTATAGACTTGTATATGTTCTGTTTCAGGGTGCCTGAGACGGTTTATGGGAGCACATGAGCAATCAAGCAGCTGTTGACATTGTGACAACCAAGCGTGTACCTGAAATAAACCAAGTGATGCAGTGGAACATTCACAGGTTCAGGTTCTACTTGTTAGTTTAGTCTTATGTAGTAGAAAATTGAATATGCTAGGTTATCGGATTTGTAGTCTTGTAGATATATTGCTTGATGTTAGTTTACTTGCTTTGCTTTTGAGTTTTGATTTACGTACAGAATGTAAAAGAGTTATAACTTTACTTCTAAAATATTATAAAACTTAACCAATAAGAAATAAGGAGATAATTCAAATATTTTGAAATTTAAAAAATACAAAAATACCCTAACAAGTAACAACTAAACCTAAACTCAAGCGTACGTGAGGTAAACTAAAAACAAACAAAGAAACTTGAGAAAAGAAGCGGCGATGGATCCCAACTGCAAGCACGTGGATACCTGTGACTTAGAAACCTTTGATCCTAATATCATGCCATTGAATACCTGTGACCTTGAGACTCAAGGACTGCTGGCATCTCTTGGCGCTACTGCTGATGATGATGAGGCTGAGGATCTCTGTTCTGGTGGAAAGAAGCAAGAGCGGAAACGGAGGCTGATAGAAGTTGGTTCTGATGATGATGAAGTCGAAATCACCGCTCCTCCAACTCAATCCTCCCAGCCTCGCAAGCAATTTAGTTTCGGATCAGGGAGTGGATTTGCAACCTCTTCAAAGGCCACTCAACGCAAGAAGAAGCCGAGTGTTTCTATAATACGTGGAGGAAGAAGGTCTTCAAAGCCGACTCTAAATAATGGAAAGAAGAAAGCTTTGGAGTCTAAGCAGCCAGTGGCTGGTGAGGAATCTGAGGATATTAACGTGGGTGATGATTCTGATGACAATAAGAGGGAGAGTAGGCAAAGGTCTAAGGTTTGGAATGATTTTGTTGTGATTCGAAAACCCAATGGCGAGGAGAAGGCTAAATGCATTCACTGTAAGAATGAGTTTGCCTGGAGCTCCCACTCGCATGGAACTCCGGCGTTGATAAGGCACACACAGAGATGCAAAAATATAACAAGGATGAACGGCAATATGAAGCTCGATGGTGAAGGCAAATTACAACCTCGCAAGTATGATCATCTTGTGTTTAGGCAGCTGGTAGCTAAGACGATAGTCCAGCATGATCTACCATATTCCTATGTGGAGTATAAAAAGGTGAGAGCCACTTGGAAGTATCTGAATGATGATGTCCAATTCATTTGTCGAAACACGGCGAAGGCTGATGTGTTTCGCTTGTATGAAAGCGAGAGAGACACGCTGAAGAGGGAATTATCGAGTCTTCCTGGAAGAGTTTCCTTGACATCTGATTTGTGGACGTCTCTTAAGCGAGAGGGTTATATGTGTGTGACNGCTTGTATGAAAGCGAGAGAGACACGCTGAAGAGGGAATTATCGAGTCTTCCTGGAAGAGTTTCCTTGACATCTGATTTGTGGACGTCTCTTAAGCGAGAGGGTTATATGTGTGTGACTGCGCATTACATTGATCGGAATTGGAAGTTAAACTCCAAAATTTTGACGTTTTGTGCTCTACCACCACCACATAATGGTATGCAAGTTGCAACACAACTCCTTGAATCACTGCAAGAGTGGGGTATCAAAAAAAAGGTGTTCTCTCTCACATTAGATAATGCTACGAGTAATGACTCGATGCAAGATATTGTCAAATCGCAGCTGATGTTGAGGGATGACTTGTTGTGTGCCGATGAGTTTTTTCATGTCAGATGTGCAGCTCACATACTGAACCTCATAGTGCAAGATGGTTTGAAGGTTATTAAAGAGTCTTTGCACAAAGTAAGAGAGAGCGTTAAGTATCTAACAACATCGCAAACGCGTGAAGTATTGTTTGCAAAATGTGTGGCTGCTGCGAAAATAGAGGAAGATGCGGGTCTGATATTAGCTGTTTCAACAAGATGGAATTCTACATACTATATGCTTGAAAGAGCCATCAAGTATCGAAAGGCATTCATTCAGTTGGAGACATTTGATAAGAGAGGTTACAAAATGGCACCTACAGCTGAGGAATGGACACGAGTTGAAAAAATAAGATGTTTTTGGGGGCATTTTGCTGAGATCACACGTTTGATGTCAGGTTCGCATTACCCGACTTCGAACTTGTATTTCTATCAGGTCAGGATGATCCATGATTGGCTTCAGACGCATAAAGAAAGCGAAGATGAGATTATTAGAGACATGGTGCCACCGATGAAAGAGAAGTTTTATGAGTATTGGAAAGAAGTTAGTGGAGTTTTTGCAATGGCAGCAATCTTTGATCCACGTTTTAAGCTCTCAATTGTCGAATATTGCTTAGGGAAGCTTGACATGAGCACACGTGATGCAAAGTTGAAGAACTTGCGCACAAATCTTGGTACTCTATTTGAGTCTTATGACAAATAATCCAAGACAAACTCACCTTCTACAGAGCCACGCCAGACGGTTCCACCGAAAACTTGTGGTGAAGGAACTATGGGAATGTTTGGGAACTATGATGTGAGTGTTTTCTTCCACATTTTTGCATTCTATTTAATAGTTTAATTTTTTCTTTTTTAATTATTTTGAGCCTTTTTAGGAATTCTTTGCATTTCGCAAAGTCAGTGGCGTTGCAAGTGGAAAGACGGCTTTAGAAGCTTATCTTGATGAGCCAGCTTTGGAATTTGAAAATTCCCGGAGCATGAACATTCTCGACTTCTGGAAAGATAATGCTCATAGATATGGTGATCTTGCTGCAAGGGCTTGTGATCTTCTAAGTATTCCTATCACAACAGTGGCTTCAGAATCCTCTTTTAGCATTGGATCGCGAGTCCTTAATAAATACAGGAGTCGTCTGCTTCCAAAGAATGTGCAAGCTCTGATATGTACAAGGAATTGGATCAAAGGATATGAAGCTTATGAGCATGGTAAATGATTCATTACTATATCAGATTCGACACTATGACCATTAAGAGTAATTAACTTCAGTTATTGATATTTTTCGGAAGGTGAAATTGATGGCGAAGAAGAGACATTACCATCATTTGAATCTATTGTTGATGGAGAAGACGGAGAAAAAGAGGCTTGAATTTTTTATTTTCATTTGGTGTTTTGCTCTTATTAACATTTGATATTTGGTTGTTTGGATTTGGACGTGGTGTTTTGTTTAATTTAAATGTGGTTAAGACTTCAAAATTTGTTGTGTTTGTTTGTAGACAAACAGCCTGCTTTGTTTGCTTTACGTTTGCATACAAATAATCTGCATTGGTAATGACTTGGTAATGAAACATTGGTAATGACTTGGTAGTAAAGAATTGGTTTATAAAGTGGATTACGTATTAGTAAAAACACTCGAATCTACTTTGGTTGCTTTACGTTTGTATTACTATAATACACAAAGCAAACTACAACTAAATTGTTTAGATTAAACCTATTCTAGAACAAGATTTTGTCATAAACATAAGGCTATTACAAGTTGCCCCCTCTTCTTCTTGTTATGTGTGGAAAAAAAGAGACAATGAAAGTCAAGTTTATCTCTTTTAATGCCTTGTTGTTGTAGGTTATTTCTGAGAGCTTATCTGAAGAAGAAATAGCAGGACTGAAAGAGATTTTAATAAGAAACGTGTTGCAGCCGCTGGTAGAAGTTGGAACGTATGGAGTCAACGGAGTTAGCTTTGCATTTTCTCGATCCGCGGGCTGGCCCGCATAGTCTTACAAAGTTAGCGGGGCGGGTTTGGGTGGAGGTGTTGAGCACCGCGGTTCACGGCGGGCTGACCCGCACAGATCCGCCGGAGAAGGAGACCGCAGCGGGGCGGGCCACGGTGGGGCGGGTGATCCCATTTGCCATTCCTACGTCTGGCATAATATGAATCTGAAGATCCAATGACCTTTAACTAATTGGATCTCTTTTATGTAAGCATGTTCTCATTGTTGCCTTGCAAGTACTAGAAAACCTTTCTTTGTAGTGTTTAAGTGGTTCCTTCCGGGAATACTTTCATCGGCCCAACTTTCCTATATCAAAACTGATATCAAGCTGAATACATGTCTAATATAGATTAAACTATCAACCACTATCGTCTAAGAAAATATTTCAATTTCTTTACGCTCCAATTCATTTTTTACGACATTACAATTTACTAAACTTCCTCCTTCTGTATTGGAGCTATTCATACGGAGAAATTATTTATTTATTTTATATCTCTCTAAGATCTTACTGACATATCATTTCTGAGACAAACTCAATAGTCTTTATGGTCTATTTCGAAAGATTACTGTTCTGATCAAATAAGATGTCTCACCCATATCTGTCATTTCAAAATTCTTAGAGAGATACTACTTTACATCATGTAACATGCCTATGTTATTTCCAGCAAGCATAATTACATCAGGACCTAATTACATTAACATATAAGACTAACAGAAAAATATGCCCCACTGATCTTAATGTCA